GGTTTGGACTGGGGGGCCTAATATGATATGCTTTCATGGGGCCCAAAATCTCTAGCAACGCCCCTGATAAGAGCAATATATTTCCCTGCTTAACAAGACACCATACAAATGTGAAACTTAAGATCAAATATTCTGAAGTGTTTTAAATATGTGTATATCCCAACTAATCATGTGACACTCAGATAATACTAAGTCAACTGAATGAAGAAGTAATAACTTTAAACTCAGAAAGTTGATTTTTTTGTAATTTAATTGACAAAATTGCTTCCTTTTTTTGCACCACAGATGCAGTTAACTAAAAGCAACAAAATTTGAAATGAAAGATGGCAAAAACACTATTTAAGCACTTAGCATCTTTAAAACTTTTGATGCTAATAGGCCTGAATGGAGGTTGTAAGTGTTTTGCTTCACACAATCCATATAGATATGTCAGTCACCCTAACTGCAGGCTTTTGGACTGCAGATGTAAAGCCACGCAGACATGGGGAGGACATGCAAACTTCACACACATAGAGGAGAGGCAGATATCAACCCCCCAGCCCTGTAGTACCTACTGAGTGCTACCTACTGAGCCGTCATGACATGCATTATTCCATTCATCTAATAATCTGAGTACGGGCTCCCTAATGTAGATTCGCAAAATGCATGGAATGATGGGCCTTTTAGCTGTTATGCTGATGAACCAAAAAAGGCAATAAATCGAATTACCCGCTGAGCCCCCTTGCTGCTACAGTACTGATTTTCCAGCTGACCTTCCATGATTTCACTGCGTTTCCCACTGTATCTGATTGTTATAATGATTCTGACCTCTCTCTCTCTCGTTCACCTGCAGACTTAGGCTCCCCAGCGGCCCGCACGCTGTCGGAGGAGCAGTTTCAGTGCTCCATCTGCTTGGAGGTGTTCGTGGAGCCCGTGACCACGCCCTGTGGCCATAGCTTCTGCAAGGCATGTCTGCAAGGCTACTGGAGCCACAGCAGAAAATTCCAGTGTCCCATGTGCAAGCGGAGCTTCACCAGGAGGCCTGAGCTCAGTGTCAACTGCGTGCTGGCTGACATCACTGAGCAGTTCCAGGATACGGTCACCACCAACGAAGCCCCCAGGACTCTGACGAGAGAGAGGGATCTCGGGGGGTCAGAGGGTGGCTCTTTCGCACGGGAAGGCGAAGTGTCCTGCGATGACTGTATTGGGAGGAAGATGAGGGCAATAAGGTCCTGCCTGAACTGCCAGAGCTCCTTCTGCGAGACGCACCTGCGGCCCCACCAGCGGGACAGGTCTCTCTCCTCTCACCGCCTGGTCGCCCCCACTCTCAGACTAGAGCAGAAGGTGTGCAGGAAGCACAGGCGCCTCCTAGAGGCGTACTGCCGCAGTGACCACTCCTGCATCTGCACGGCCTGCGCAGATGCTGCTCACAAGTCTCATGACGTCGTCTCCGTTGACCGGGAGTGGAAGAGGAAGATGGTGAGTCCATAGTGACTGTGGGCAGGATAAATGACGATGGTCTGATGTGGACCCAGACTGCTGGGTGTCCTGGGTTTCACTCAGGCTCAGTTGTGTTACTAATGTAATTATATGAATGTTAAATCCTTTTATTTATGTTTCAGATATAAATTATTCAGTAGCACTTTACCTGAGGGGGTACAAATAATGTAATAATACACTCTTACTTAATGTAACCAGTAAGTAAGTGTTAGTTATGTACTGATTTCGTGTTCGATCCTGAATAATCGATCATAACGATTCATGAATCTCATGCAGTTAATATATTTGTTCATAATTTGTATTTGCATAGTATCTGAGTTACTAAATTACTGGTACCCTCTCAAGTAAAGTGTTACCAATTATCCTCTCGTATGTCAATCCATCCATCCATCTATCTATTGTCCAAGCACATGGCACAACTATATTTTAAATATTCGGATTAGTGAGCTATGAAATCCTGGTTTAAAGTTACTTGTAGATAGACAGACAAGGTCAAAAATACAGTAAGGCTGCTGACAAGACAGTATGGAAAGTCATAGAACCAAGGTGCAAGAACTGAGCAATTTATTGTTATTATTTGCCCCTGACTCTGTGTGTGTGTGTGTGTGTGGGGGGGGGGTGGCATCTAATCCATGGTGTGCCTTATCTTGTGTCCTGTGTTTCCAGGAGAAGGTTATGGGTTCACCATAATCCTACACTAACCCCATAGATCCCCCGCAGATCGGTCTTGAATAAGAGATTGGAAGATAGATGATTGATGTATAGTTGGATAGATATTTTAAATCCATTTCTTAGCATTTTTGATTTCTGTTGGCACCTTATTTTGATGGTTAAGCAAACTTCCTTCTTCCCCTTTAGAGCCACCTGAACAAGAGGAGGTCAGAGTTCAAACATCTGATCAAAGAAAGAGCAAAGAAACTAGAGGAGATAAAGCAGTCAATTAAGGTTATCAAAGTGAGTACAGACACATGTCTATCCCAGATTTTAGAATCATTGAACAGACCAACTTCAAGATCAGCTGCTGAACATCTTCCTCTTTCTATCAGTCTCTCTTACCCTCTGCATGCTATAAACATAACACATATCTCCCACCGTCAGCACTGGCAGGATATGACCTCAGAAGTGTTGCCAACCAATCTCTTTTGGTGCAGTTAGCACATGTGTAACAACAGTGTATACATATACTTATCACGATATTGACAACTGTTACTGTACAGTTAGCATCACATGCCCCTCCGCCCCAAAAAGGCCACGGCCTGCACTCCCTGCAGTGAAACCCAGTTTCCTGGCAGCCTGCATACTGACACAGGGAATCCAGACGGCAACTTCCATTGCTAGTTGTGCCTGCAAATAGATTTAGAGCCAGCTGGGCTGTTTTAAAAATACAATAAGGATACAGTTACACACTGGAAACTGGCCTCGCATACAGAGATCGCAGAGCTAAAAAGCAATCTGGTTAAACCATGTTATGGGTTCATAAATAATTCAGACTCATATGGAAAAATTATACCAGAACCAAAGAATCCTGGGTCCCAAATTCTACCCTTGTGGAGTCTTCATGTTCTCCTTGTGCTTGCGGGTTTCCTCAATTTCCTCCAAAATCCTGAAATTTACTGAATTGACATCTCTGAGATAGTGCATGTGTCCTGTGATGGACAGGTATTCCCTTCAGGGTGTTCCCCCGCATTGAACATAATGCTTTGGATATGGTCCAGCCCCCTCCCCCCTCCAACTCTGACCAGGATAAGTGGTTGGAAGATGAAGTGAGCCACATGGTATTTGTTTGCAGATTAAAAAAAGACATCACTTTCTCTGAATGCCATGTTTATAAGAATCTATAAACAGATTCATAATACGGTCTAGTGCATTCTATCTATAATGTATTATAGATGACGGTTTTAAATAAAATGTTACCAATAACCTTTGAACATTTGCATTGGACGTTCTGCCTTGTGAGCATACAAATTGTGGAAGACATGGGAGTGATAGCTTGACATAGAATGTGGGTATTTTCTTGACCTTTGGAGGGAATGTAGTCAGTCTGGTTTTTCACCGCCACATTGAAAGCAAACAAAACATTCAAAGCATTTACCAAGAACGCTGGTGCTTTGGCTTACTCTGATGTCGTCACTCTTCTAGAAACCCATAACCTGATTAGTATCTCTGCAGCAGCAGGCCTGATTCTCGCACGCAGAGTCAAACTGCATAGACAGGCTGAGAGACTGGCATCCTAGCTGTCAGGCTGCTTCTCATTGATACCGATCAGATCATGGCGCCCTGGCATTTCCTGATATACTGTACACCTGCCTTTCCTATGTCTCAGAGCTGTGCTCAGAAGGAACTGGAGGAGAGCTGGCAGGTGTACGCAGACCTGCTGCGCCTTGTGGAGCAGAGCCAGGCCGAGCTGGTGGAGCGCATCGCCGCCTGGCAGCGGGAGGCAGAGAGGAAGGCCCAGGACTTGGCTGAAGGGCTGGAGAGGGAGCTGAGCCAGCTGAGGATGAGGAGCACAGAGCTGGATCAGCTGGCACAGACGCAGGACCAAGTGCTCTTCCTCCAGGTACTGCAGGAAACATGGACGCTCAGGTGTTTTGTGATGAACTTCCCAAAACACCTGTTCTGCAGGGGTTAGATGTTTTTGTTGGGATGTTCTCTCAATATTTTCCCTCACAAAGCATCCCATCAACAGTCATCCACATATAATGAAAACCCATATAAACCAAAAAACGGAACTCTAAGGTTCTTTTACTGTCCCCTCTGAAGAGTGTCCCCACCATGCCGCCTCTGCTGGAGCCCATGGATTGGTCGGGCGTGTCTGTGAACACTGACCTGTATGTGGGGACATTAAGGAAGTCTGTCAGCACCTTAATGGACAAGGTCCAAGAGGAGCTCAACAAACTCCTCGAGAAAGGTGAGTGAAAAGCTTGAGGCCAGTTTCTGCCATTGCATCATGTGAAGTATATCACGGGTCACAGAATTCAGCCAAGTCACTTCCAGTATGTCACGTGTACTGGGGAAGCATTGGGGAATGGCTCTTAAACCATTAAATGTTATATACTAAGAGGCATACATCACTTTCATGGGTACCTACACATTTTATGTGTGTGTCTGCCTGATATCTTCTGTTGACCTTTGACATTTGTTTTTTTTCCCCAGAGCTCGGCAAACTCCAGAGCTACGCAAGTATGTCCTTTTCAGGGAAAAAAACCCTTTTGAGGGACACTGGGTGAATCTAAATACCAAGAAAGCGTACTTGTGGTCTTGGCAAGACCTGTCTTGCTAACTTGCCGTCCAAGAACGAACTTGGGGCTCAGTGAATTATGGGATGGGTCTTATTCAGTGAGGATGCAGCTGATGTATCCTTGATATTTGGGGCAGAGCAAGACCAACATATGGGGATTACATGCTCATGTGCTTGTGATTGGAACTGGTCTTTGATAATGGAATATGACGTTAAACGGGTATACAAAAAGACAAGTACGGTCAAGAACGCATATCATGATTCATCCATGATTTTATTGGTTGCTTCAAAAACTATGAAGCTGGAGAGCTGGATGCTTAGAAATTGTCATGTTCTTCCATAAGGACATAATCTATTATTCATAAGCATCTTTGACTAGATTAATAAAAGAATATAACATTTAATGAGCACAATTAACAGTTTCAGTTCACTATTATATTTAATTGCTAGTCTTATAAAGCTTGGCAGTTTACACAGCTAACTATTTAGTCATTTGACAGCCACCTATTTATACTAAGAAATCCAATTTGAACATATCAATTAATATGAAAGGCACTGTTCAATCTTACAAAGCGGGGAGTCCATAACTGACCCAATCAATTTCCTGTTTTCTGCAAGGTGAAGTGTTGTTTGACCCAAGCACAGCGCAGAGGAACCTGGTCGTGTCGGAGGATGGGAAGCAGGTGAAATACGAGGACCACAAGCAGGACGTGACAGAGGGTCACCAACGCTTTCACCCAGCGCTTTTCTTGCTGGGCCGCGAGGGTCTTGCCTCTGGCCAACATTACTGGGAGGTAAAGGTAGGCGAGAAGACAGCCTGGATGCTGGGCGTCGCCAGGCAGTCGATCTGCAGGCAGGGTGACGTCAACCTGAGGCCCGAGTGCGGCTACTGGTGCATGTGGCTGAAAAATGGGGAGGTCAAAGCCCTATCCTCAACGCGCTTGCCCCTTCACCTGCCCACCCTGCCTACCAAGGTTGGCATCTATGTAGACTATGAGGCGGGGCAGGTGTCTTTTTATGACGTCAAAGCTCGCCTGCACCTCTACACATTTATGGACACATTCACTGAGAGCCTTTACCCCATCTTCAGCCCCTTCCCAAACAGGGATGGCAGGAATTCCGCCCCTCTCATCATCTCCCCTATCAAGCACAGCTGATCTGTGGAGACCATATCCAAATCATACCCTGTCCTCTGTTCTCTTATTCTCAGACCAGCTCTGGAGCCAATGTATATATTTTTTTTCCTCAAATCTACTTTTTTAAGCATTTTGTAATGATATTATAGTCACTCAACAAATAGTTTTTGGTATGTTTTGGTATTTTCTACCAATAAAACAGTACTTGGAGTTTGCATCTCTTCCCCATGACGTGTTGATTTCCTCCAAGTACTGTGGATTCCTTCTGCAGACCAAAACTATGCAGTCATGCTACCTGATTCCTGTAAATTTCTTGTTTGATTGTATGTGTGCCATGAAACGGACCGGCATCCCATCCGGTGTGTACCCCAGCTATGTGCCCCCTCTCTGACCCTGAGCAGGATGAGCTGTTAGAAGCTGGACTGATGGGTAGAGAAACAGAGACTATGTTTCAGTTCATCCTTTCTCATAAGAAAAGGACTTTAAATGGAGTTTAATTTGCTGAAATATGATAATGAACTAGAGGAAAAGACCTAATTTCTCACTGAAGAGGGAACCCAGTAGGACGCAAAGGGTTAAATGCAGGGGGGGGTGTAAACGTGCATGTGATGGTGGGCGTCAGCTGTGGCCCATGTCACTCGCAGCTAGAGACCAGCCAGACCTACACTGCTGCAGACGCCTGCTGGTAAGGACGTTCTCCCGGAAACTTCTCTGCAGATTCATATATCACGTTAAAGTGCCATTGCTATTTGCATGACATCTACATGGTGGCATTTGCTTTAATGACTGTAAAACATGTTGACATGAAGGTAGAATTTTATGTGTGTGTGACTGTATTTAAATTTGGTGTGTCTAACTCACCACTAAGTCCGAAGCTTTTACCAAGATCATGCTTTTTATTATCTGTTTATTTGTATTGTGTCATTTTATGATCAATCAGTGAGGAAATTCTAAGCAATCAGTCTTAGGCATAAAATCCATATTTCCCCATGTTGTTCTTGCCTGTTTGGAAACTGCATTAGTTACCACACAGTAGCAGGGCTGATATTTTTGGAAGCCTGGTAATCTTTGATTCTATATATAGCCAAGCATTATATATTCTTGACTCTCTGCTCAAATTCTAACTTACTTGCAGATATTTGCAAAACTTTGCTGACTATATGTCTACTTCTAAACTAATGTTTACTCATTACATCTGCACTGAAAGAAATATAACACTGGCTCAACTTAAAAAAATTGAAGCAATCTGTCACACCTAATATTTTAGCATTGCCGTAATGTAAATAAACCATTTACTGTAAACTTTAAATTTTTAAGTTCATGTAAACTAATTTCTGAAGGTGAAACAAACCAAATATTTAAAGTTGTTCTAAATCAAAATAAATGAGTTGGCTATATTACTTAATGTAAATATTCTACTAAATCTAACCTGAAATTATAAACTTAATATAAACCACGTTTGAATGTTTGAGCAAATTAACTAATTTTGGGTTGCATCAAATAAAGATTTAAGGCATTCATAATTTAAATATAAAAGCAAAAAAACTTAATTACATTTTGATTTACACTAAGCTACTCTCTTCAGGTCCCGCTTTCTCCGTTCTGCTTTTCTTATATCATGAATAAGTAAAGTAATTATTAATAACATACAATGTTTTTAATGTAATCAAAAAGCAATGCAGTTGAATCTGATTTTATGGAAAAATAATTGTATGAAAATTCTTTTGAATGGGAATCAATAATTGTGTATCAGTGATGGTATGGTATTTGAGGTCATATTGTATAATAATTTATGCCCTGTAACCACTCTGCTACATCGCTAAAGATTTATAAAGTGAAACATTTTGTTCAGGTGTAGCAACCTAGAAACAATGTAACTCAGGTTTACCTTAGCAATATCATTGTCCCGACATATCTATGCACAAATAAATAAATATATCTTATAAAATTTACAGAGGCCTTAGTTGTTTATTTCACCCCCTGAGACAGAAATGTTCTGACTTTTTCAAACTTTTTTGAAGAAAAAATTGTTTTCAAATTGTATATTTCATGTTCAAGCAATCGGAAGATAACTTCGTACACCGACCATTTGCCACTGTTAAATTAACACTGCATGGTGTTCATATAATTCTCACCAAATCAGTGTTACATTTAACACTTTACAGAGTGCAGTGAGTGTTATAGTATAGTGTTAAATTGTATTAGCTCTTATAGTGTTCAGTTGACACCATAGAGTGTTAGATCCCTGAAACCCCACCTCTTCCCAGATTCCAAGCCGATATAGGTGGCACCCAGGTAGATAATGGGTGGCTTATGTCTGGGGCAGCCAGCAACTGTGTTTGATTAACCCACCATCATAAGAAAGACTCTGACCAACAAGGCCTTGTCACTTGTTATCTAAGCTTTACATTGTTAGCTTTGATTTTTCTGAAGACCAGCCCACTGTGTTCTTGTAAGCTGAACACAAATTTTTTCTTCCTGACTCTTACCTTGCTTGTGCTTTAAAGTGGGGATTGAGTTAGAGAAAGAATATTTTAACTTTTCATTATCAGTTTCTTTTTTGAGCACATATACTGTAAAATAGTTTCCTTGCATCAGTACAAGAGTAAACCAATTGAGCCCTCTCGCAATCACCTGTGGTATGAAACTGAATAAAATGTATGGTACCAGTCTTGGGGAACAACAGTGAGAAACCCACTGTGAAACAGCCCTGTGTAAATTGTGATGTGTTCCTAATGACAAGGACAAGACTGGTAATCACTGCTTTGTTAGTATAAAAGCAGTGCTTATTGACACAGATAATAAAGCTTGTTAGAATGCATAACATAATTATTTAGCAGGGCTCAGAGAAGGTGAGAGCTCCCCTAGTGGCTACAGGAGAGCATTTTCCCTAAAGCAGATATAATGGGTGGTGGCCTTATTGCTTTTAGACCAAGACTTGGGATAGAAGAACATATCAATTTATTTTGCTCATTTAATATTCAGATTTTCATTTGGCTTAAATTTTAGAACACAGCGTGTTCTAGGATGGTATGTCATGGATATTCATCTCTATGAATGTACTATGAATCTGGGCTGTTTTTTATGCTTGAGATGATGTATGTCAGGTGGTCTGAGTAGTATGGAGACTATGGTACAGTAGGTGTGTGATCTTGAAGGAGTTTTGATTGGTTCTGTTCCATGTTCCATCACGGTGGATTAAAAAAAAAAACACTGAAATGTGTTAAAAGGCTGTACCATATCATGGTATGCAATTAACATCCAGCATCACTGGTTTACAGGGAAGTGGGCGGTACCAGGAGTTGCATAGCAAAGGTGTCAGAACTCTTGTAACACATTTCCATATACAAAACCCATCAACCAAGGTCAGAATGGGTGACCAAAATCAACTTACATTAACAAATACACCACACCTACCCTTAAAATATATGCAATTATAGCTTTTGTCTAACTTAAAAATCATATGCAAGAAAAAGCCATGAAAAGCAAGGCATTGTTTAACCTATTAGCACACAGCCCTCTGATCTTCAAAAAAAAACAGCACTGAGCCAAGAAAAATTTAGTCTATAATAAGAAAACACTGAGAGATCCTTCTTGGTCAGAGTCTTTCTCATGATGGTTGGTAAATCAGGGTGGCTCTTATGATTCTCATATGAGTTCTTGTATGCACATTAAAATGGGGCAGATAGGGGCCACCCATTATGCACCTGTGTGCCACCTATACGGGCTTGGAATCTGGGAAGAGGTGGAGTTGCAGTGATCTAACACTCTATGGTGTCAACTAGACACTATAAGAGCTAATAAAATTTAACACTATACAACAACACTCATTGCACTCAAATTTGCTGTGTATGGCTATGAGAGGGTAGAGAAAAGCACTGACCACAAAATTATGTTAGTGATCTTATACTTGGCTCTCCATCCCACTTATTTAATTTAAAACAACTGTATTAAGTCTCTTTTTCCTTAGGAATGGCTTCCTCTAGCAGTCTCTTGTCTGAGGAGCAATGTCATTGCTCCATCTGCCTGGATGTGTTTACAAATCCCGTCTCTCTCCCGTGTGGGCACAACTTCTGCATGACCTGCATCAGGAGCTACTGGCAGACCAGTGCAATCTACCAGTGCCCTATGTGTAAGAAGACCTTCTACAAGCAGCCTGATATCAGCATTAACACAGTCCTTAGGGAGATAGCTGAGCAGTTCAAAGACATGCGAGCCAGCGCCTCGGGGGCACGACAATCTGACGAACCTACTGAGCAGGTGGGCCAGTCAGGTGAGGTGTCCTGTGATGTGTGTACCGGAGAGAAAATGAAGGCTGTCAAGTCCTGCTTGGTCTGCCTGACCTCCTACTGCGACGAGCACATCAGGACCCACAATGCTAGGTTCACCAAGCACAAGCTGGTGGAGCCTGTTAAGAATCTGGAGGACAGGATGTGCAAGAAGCATGAAAGGCTCCTGGAGCTGTTCTGCAAGAGAGACCAGACTTGTGTTTGTGTGCTTTGCACTGAAACCAATCACAGGGCCCACTATACCGTGCCCGTGGAGAGGGAGTGGACCGAGAAAAGGGTGAGGATACAAGAGAGATCAGGGCTGTTGACAACCAAAGCTCTTTGAGAAATGTATGAAATGGTATATTCAATTAATATCCTGAATGGCGGAATCTTACAGGTTACAATATCAAAGGACACAAATAGAGATATAACTACATTATTAGGTCCTTCTGTAAATAAATCAATCTGCAATCTTGTCTCTAAAAGTTTGCTTTGTAAAGAAAATAACCAGTCTTAATGTTCTGCTCACAGGCCCAGCTGAAGAAGACCGAAGTAGAAGTTCAACAGATGATCCACGACAGACTGAAGAAAATGGATGAGATTCAGCAGTCAGTAGAGCTCAGCAAGGTGAAATGAGCCTATGGGGCTTTAGATAAGTGTGTTCATTTGAAATTTACACTAAAAAGTAAAGATAAAGTTTAACTATCAGATGGATTTAAGCTTTAACTTAAAAAATCTGAGATTCTCTGTCGGATAAACCTTTCTATTCTATGAGAGTACAGTATGTGTAGAAAAACAGATACATATCTTCCCCCAAGTATCAGTACAAAACCAAAGCTGATGTAGTGATTTTGAATAGGATGTACTTTCTCCTGTCCCACCAGTGCAGTGCCCAAACGGAAATTGAGGAATGCGCGCAGGTCTTCACCAATCTAATACGTGTCATTCAACAAACCCAAGCGGAACTCATCGGAATGATGGAGGAGAAGCAGAAGGCAACAGAGAGGCGAGCTGAAGGCCTCATTAAAGATCTGGAGAACGAGATTGCAGAGCTACAGATGAGAAACACTGAGCTGAAACGGCTCTCTCACACTGATGACCACATCCACTTCCTACAGGTCAGTGAGCTTTTCTACCAGACAACAGGCAAGATGAACACAATGCTGATGTATTTCTTGCATCTGCTGTTGTAGAGTTTCCCTTTACTGTGCACCCCTCCACACACCAAGAACTGGTCAGGTGTCACTGTTTACACTGACCTCCCTGTGGGCACCATAAGGAGAGCCATATCTAGACTCGGGGAGACGCTCAGTGAAGAAATGGAGAAATTGGCAGAAACGGGTGAGTTTGGGAAACAGAATCAATGGAACCCTGAAAAGACAGTTTTAAAACAGCAGTTGGTGGCATATTGCTTGCGAGCCACAGGTAGCTTATAGGAAGCCAATAAATAGGTCCATGTTTTAAAGATATGATCAGTTCTATAAATGTCATTCATTCTTATTTTACTTATACATTGGCCCACAAATTCCATGGGTTGTCAGGTGCCCGAACCTAAGAAAGCCAAAATGACGACGTGCTGAAGAGTCGACGTGAAAAGAGAATTACTCATGCCTTCCCCCACCCTCCCCAGTAGATATGTATCTTATATTATATCATGTAGCTCCTCAGATTTTTTTCTTTGAAGAAGTACTTCTTTAAATAAGGCTGGAGACCCCAGCTTTAAAACAAAATAAAAGATGAATAGTTTTATTTGGATCGTCCTCGTGCAGAGGGTATACAGACTCTTTGTGACATTTCAACAACTTATTAGCTGAGATTCATCAATTAATATAACATGAATTGAATGACTAGTCAAATCCAATTAAATTACTCTAAGAATATGTAGGTATGTTCATGAATCGTTACATGTACTCTATATACTGTGTATTCTGTTAAACATCTACAGACAGTGAAACAGCTGAATTGTTCAATCTCAACTAAGTTGTTGAAATGCAACTAATACTCTTTAGGTGGACTATCCAAATAAAGTGTTACCTTTAGTTACATTGTTCCTCGCTGAGGTTTTCTGCATTGCACTCTTGTCTGAATAATACTCTTAATGATATGTAAAATTAATCATATTTATAAATTATGCCCTCAGAGCTAAAGAAGATGCAGAAGTACACTGGTAAGATTTCAGTTGTTTTTCTTTCCAAAAGAGTGATCCCTGTGGCGTATTTAAATCCTCAGTTTCGATCTCCTCCACAGCCGATGTAACCTTCGACCCCAAAACTGCAAACCCCTGGCTCCTGCTGTCAGACGATGGCAGACAATTGAAACATGGGGGCACGTGGCAGGACCTCCCAAACGAGCAAGAGCGCTTCGACACGGTGGTCATTGTGCTGGGGAAGGAGGGGCTGACGTCGGGGCGGCACTACTGGGAGGTACAGGTGGGGGAGAAGGACGACTGGTACCTGGGAGTGGCTAGGGCGTCTGTCAAGAGGAAGGGGCGGATCGCTGTTAGCATATCGCATGGATACTGGGCCCTGGCTATGAAGAAGAACCAGGAGTACCGAGTCTCATCCACACCTCCCATTGTCCTTACCCTGGACTCCAAACCAAGGAAAGTGGGTGTCTATGTGGATTACGAAGAAGGACAGATTTCCTTCTACAATGTCAAAGCCAGATCCCATATCTACACCTTCATGGACGTTTTCACTGAAAAGCTGTATCCATTCTTTTACCTCTACTGCTGTGATAAAGCGTCTGACACAATGGTAATCTGCCCAGTGAAATAGGCAGCATGTAGAAATGCTTGAGGACTGAAAAGACTGACAGTACCTGCTTGGACTGACTTCTTAATTTTCTGGAAAAATAAACAGTCACAGTAAACGAACCGCATTAAAATACTTACATCTAAAATACTGTAGTGCTTTATATTTGTTTAAGGCACCCGTGTCTAATTTTAGGATTATCCCAAAATGATTGCATGCAATGTTAATGCAGGCAGAGGCAGGGCTGGCCCAACCCTTCTTGGGGCCCTAAGGCCCTTGATTAACTAGGTTGTCATGTGTCATCTTCCTTCCCATTCTGACAGGTTAATCAAATGGGGCTTCGTTTGCGCCTTGGGCCGGCCCTAGGCAGAATTCTTCCGTTTAGGGGATGAACAACTATACAGTATTTAAAAAGTCTATTAATGAAAAAGTCTGTATTAAAAAGATAAATCAATCATGGAATTGTTCGTTATTTTTCTTCTTTCTTTGTTTTATAACCTTCCTCACTGTATTTCTGCAAATACACTTTATTTCTTGTCTGCTTTTCTGTAAAACTCTTTGAATGAGTTGTGTGTAAATGAAAATGCGCTATACAAATAAACTTTTATATATTTTATTATTAATTTACAAATTAAGCAATTCAAAAATTAAAACTACTAAAAAATTGGAATTTAGGCAATTTCTGAACCACCCTCCATGTTTTTTCTAGCATTAGGTTTGGATGTGTGTAAACGTGTTTGCTCAGTACAAATTCCAACATTTCAACTAATTTCAAGGAAAGCAGGCAAAATGAAACATTTTTAAAATTGGTATAACTGAAGTATCACTGAAATACATTTGGAAAGAAAACTTGAAATATCTGCAAAATAATAATCTCTTGGGATTTAATTTCATTTGCTCTCCACACTGTTCATACACATAGGTCACCATAACATCCATGTGAAAATGTTGTTTGTTGTTTTCAGCTCAGAATTAAACACCTTAAATCCTAAACAACCTGTATCCAAACTCGGCCTGAACACACCACTTTGCAACTGAGCATTATTCTCTGCGCACTTTTTATTAAACTCTGAAACCCTTCCTCAGCCTGGGACACATTAACAAATTCGCAGACTACGCAATTGTGGTAGGGCTGATCTCTAATAACGACGAGATAGCATACAGGAGAGAATTGTGGAAACTGGCTGGGTGGCAGACAATAAATAACAGAGCTCCCAAACACCAAAAAATCCAAAAAAACGAATAACAGACTTTAAGAAATGTGCATGCGGCCCACATTTCCCAATCCACATAAATGAAGCACATAAATGGCGCAGCTGGGTGAGTCTCCAATTTCAGGTTACTCTGAGTACACATAGCAGAAGACCTCTCACGGCCTGTGAACACGGGATCTTGATACACTGCATCACAACCTGGTACCCTAGTTCCTGGTACACATATATTCCACATATTTACACATTTAATTTGTGCAGCTCTTGCTTTGCTTTTATTACTAATGTCTTCACCTAGTTTTCCTGTTAGCCTGGCTGAGGAGCACTTGGGTGTGCTGGTCTGTCTGGCACCAAGAAAAGATGACAAGATGAATACAAAGACCTAGAAAAATGATAAACATCAACGTAAAACAAGATTATAAATAACTATAAGCAGCTATAAATATATGCAGAAGGTGAGACAGCAGGTTGGTATAAACTCTTGACCACATGCTGCATGTACACAAAGTGAACTGGGGAACAGATTAATGAAAATGAATGACACTAACAATAAGCAGAGCTCAGTAATACGTAAGGAGGATCAACTAACCTACTTCCTAATAATGGCATATTTTTGCTTTTATTTTACGTGCCATCATTCACTAAATTCTACTCAATATTAGCATATAAACTGTCAAACCTTAAATATTTAAATAGAGTGATTAGTTTGGTCACCTCACGCCTCTGGGTGGGCAGAGTTCTTCTGCCTTGTGTGGAGTTTGCATGTTCTCCCAGTGCCACCGTGGGGTCCCCTGCGGCTCCCCCCCCCCACACACACACAGTCCAAAAACACGCTAAGGTGAAAGGAAGTTTCCAAATTGCTCGTAAGTGTGAATGGCAGCTGATTTGCTCCCTCAGAGAAGAATGGAAGAATGGAGGTCAGCACTGCTACAGCTTTTGTTTCCTGCAAGCTCCAGAAATCTGTTATAATTCTTTTGCCCACTAGAGGGTGTATTTCACTTCTGAATTACTCACTTTTCTAAATGAAATCTGCCATAAATTATGTCCAAGAGTATGTTTGTCTAATAACTGTAGGAGTATGAGGGATATAACTGTATAATTGTAGCCTTTGTGTGTGTTTCTAAGCCTTTCCATTAAAATGTTTTAGCTACTTGTTTTTCCTTAGATTTAAATTATATTTTAATAATGTCACTCTGGATTCTAAGCAGGCCTGGAATTTTATTAATTTAAGGGCACTAAGGCCACATGAAAGGAATATGGAGGCCTCATACAAGAGATACAGAATATCATTTTATTGAATAGGCAGACACATTAATGCCTTTTTAATAGTCAATGTCATCCTTATAGAATAAGTGAAGTTTCATCTAAGCAATTTGTTCAGTAATTTATATTGCTATTGCCCAGCTGAATCTGCACAGATTGCTGGTTCGAATCCCCAACCACCAAAGTACCACTGAGATACCCTGAGCAGGGTACTTCCCCCAAGCACTGCTCCCTGGGTGCTGAATTAGCTGCCCCCTGCTATGTCACGATGTCACATATGGGTTACATGCAGAGGACACATTTTGTTTGTGTGCACTGTGTGCTGTGGTATGTCAACAATGATAACTAATCCCTTTCACTCTTAACATAATCGAGGCAATTAAAGAAAGACAAAAGTGTGTCTAGCTTTTTAGCTGCTCATTGAGATGCCATAATGAGAAAACAGGCTTCTACAAGGCTCTGAAGTGTAAGAATGTTGGAATCCATAACTACCATACTAAGCGATTTCTCTCTCTCATCATACATAAGGTGTGTCAGTTTGACCAATGTTTAAGAGCTTCTTGTGGGTGACTTTTCTTTATCAGCATTTGATTCAAAGACTATAAATTAATATATCAATAACATTATGTAGGTGATCAGTTTAAACTCAAATGCTCACACAATATTTTGGTAACGTAACCATCCAGGTAGCGATGGTGACCTTCATGATGTCCTGACAGACATACTTTGGTAGTGCTAGCTTGGATAACATAGATCTTGTCATAACATTTACATCTACATTTACATTTACAAGTTAAAATAATAACGGATTGCTAACTATCTTAGAATTAACAAACCTCCTCCGATTAAAGAACCACCTACCAAATGTAATCAAACCCTAAACATATCGTGGCAAATAATGACAATTACGCAAATCATAACATTTACATCAGGGTAAATCTAAAGTTAATGGATTGCTTACTATTTACAATACAGTCTGGCTACAGATCCACTGTGAGGCTGATCAGCTGGGAGACCGGAAATCCACTGTGGGACCAGAAATCCAGCTGGGTAATGTTATCAAAACAAAATATCATGCAAATTACAGCTTGCTAAAGTAATGTTAGGGAACAGATCCGTGACAATATAGTACATGTTATTGATTTCCAAAGCCAACTTCCTGATTTTGTATTTAAATTTTTTAGCTTCTTCCCTTGTCTTTGATTGCTGACTGTTACTCCTTTGAACTTCTTTTGATGCATGCAGCCACACGTCTTGCCAATGGCAAAATTTCTGCTTTGATTCAAAGTATGAGTCATGTGTTGTCCTTGACTTATATGCTACACAACTAATCAATATTGGGTTCCTCTGTTCATTTATTTTTATTGCTTATGAATGTCTCTTCTATCTCGGTAAGATTTATGTAGCAATTCAGGAAATTATAAAGGGTACACAAATTTTATAGCATTACTGTAGCATGATGAAATGGAAGCTTTTGTACTGACCCTGTTCTTGGTGTAGAGCCATGATTACATAACAGTAATATCATCTTATGTATTAGACACGGTCAAAGTACCTAGAGTCACTGCATGCTTCATAGTTGGCTTGCACCTTTGTACTTTATGGACTGGATCTATCAGCGTATTTGGACATTTTCGTCAGGTATGTCAAATTCAGTCACTGAATGGGTCATACTAAAAACCACCAATGAAGGCCAACCAAAGCTTATTTATTTAGTTAATGACAGTGTGACCCAAACAATATCTATAAATATACATATACAAATAAATAACATTCACAAATATGAATTTTATAGTAAATTATATTTAAATTATTTTATAGTAGCATTATTTCTGAAAATTTAATTATTTTTTTTAATAAAGCTGAACAATGATATACAAGAACCTCTCTAGAGATATAAAATTAAACCATTAATCTGAAATTATCCACTGAATACTTCTATTATATTAGACATAGGCTGAGTTTAGTCCCAAGAAATCAAACAGCCAGGTTACAACTTGAATGTTATGCTGAATTTTATGCTAACTCACTAACTTGTCTAACTTGTCAGTGAGGGATGTGTAGAAATAGGAAACATATAGTGCAGGACTGCAGAGGATGATGACATGTGTGCGTCATTTTCGGATTGAAACACACAATGAATTGCGTGAATAAATTTCTTTACACAAACGAAACCTAAATTCACAAGTAGATGTTCAACACCGAAAACACTGTGCTAATTGTAGATGTGAGTTGGTTATGGCTAATGCTGCTTACAGTCAGGCGCAATCGGCAGTCTGATAACATTTTGGTTTCCTAACAAATTACACCAACACTGGAGATACTAGTTGAGAAGACCAAGACTGCCAGTTGGTTCTGTTATACCGAACAGAGATATGTTGCTGGAACTGTCACACCGAGGAAGAGGCAGAACCTAGACGCAACCTCCAGGTAAACTGAAGGGGTTTTATTTGATGGGACACAAATAACACGTAAACTCATGTATTATTTAACCACAAACTAAGTCTTTGTTACATACTGATCTCAGATTTGTTCATCATTAATGAATCATGATACATCTTATCTCAAGTAGTTACTATATTTGTTACTGTATCTATTAATTCTGTAAACCTTTGTGAACTACTGAAGGAACAAATCATGAATAACACAAGTGAAATACTGAAGTCATGCTTGTTCATCATTAATGAATCGTGGCACATCTTAGTGCAAATAATTACTATATTTGATGTGTCTGTACTTCAGTAACTGAGTTACTACTAAGTATTTGTCACTTAATGTATGTTAGTAAAAACTAAAATCTCATGTCAAACTGAGGGCCCATGGGCCACATCCAGCCCACAGCACTATTACATAAGGTCAGGAATAAGACTTTGATATTCTGTTAAAAATGACCAAGGAATATGGATGTAACAATAAACAAAATTCACAGTTTGATAGAAACCTCAGTTTTGGATTCACGGTTCAGTGCAATTTTGGTAGAGCTAGGAAAAATGATTTTTTTCTGGCATTATTAGAAAAAAATTAAATAGAACACGATATTAAATGATTGGTAATAAGACGCAGAAATGAATGAATGTTCTTGTCACTATTTTACCCACCTATAGTAAAATGACAGATGACCAGACATATCCATATTTAGTCCATAGGGTAGAAGAAAAACTCTTGGGGGAGGGGAACAAGTACAAAGTTCTAGTGGCCCCACCCATTTATAATCAATGTTGTGTACTTCCTGCAGATGACTGAGAAGCAAAGGAACTCCGTATATTGTACAGCTACCATACCAGGGAGATTCTCTTTTGTACAATGAACTGCGTTATTTAGACAGATCCTAGGTAAGTTTAGCTTTACTACACTAAACCAGAGAACTGTCATATATTTCTTGTGAATTTAATTTTGCTACCTTACACTAAAGAACTAGGACAGACTGCTTAAGTTGAAGAATGCTCTTAATCACTCATGCATCAAATAACATAGTATGGAATTACAGGCTTAGCTGACAGTTTCAGGTACAGGCAAGCTGGGCATTTCACAGGTAAAGGAAATCCAAGTTTTGTGTCTGAACATGAACATTGTTTATTTACAAATGGATATTGTGGCTGAAAAAAATTATACATTCTCCATCGTACTAAAATATCTGAATTTAAATTCTGTAACCTGAAAGTTTCTCATCAGTCTATTGGCCTTGTTCCACAGTGATGTGCGAGAAGCAGTTGCAATGTTGCATATGCTTGGATTCATACACTAATCCAGTTTCCATTCCCTGTGGACACATCTACTGCCTGGCCTGTATTGGGGAGTATTGGAAGCATGTGGATATCTGCCGCTGCCCGCTTTGTCTGGATGTGTTCACACCGGAAGCGGAACTCAAGTCGCTCCCACATATGGAAAATCACAGCAGCGATCTGTGCAAAGAGGAAACCCCTGTAACTCACCAGGAGGTGCCTTGTGATGTCTGCTTGGAAGGCCCAGCCCTGCAGGCAGTACAGTCCTGCTTGGTTTGTCTTGCCTCCTACTGCCCCAAGCACCTAGAGCCCCACTACCAGAGTGCAGCCTTGAGGAAGCACCAACTGGTTGTTGTGTGTAAGAACCGGGACAACTCTACCTGCAGGCTACATGGTCAACCCCTGAAGCATTTCTGCCGAAGCGACCAGACTTGCATCTGTGCTCAGTGCATACACACTGACCACAGAGGCCACAGAATAGTTCATGTCGTCAAAGAATGGGAGAAGAAGAAGGTATCTGAAACTAAACATATAAACCAAATAAATTCATAATAGCTATTTAGCAATTATAATAACTAGTTCATAGCCAAGGTGATTATACGTTTGTAGAGATTTAGATCTTATACTTGAACAAACTAGAGCCCATTGAAACACTGATATACTAATGTTTGGATCTTAAAACATATCTGGTTATAGACCACAAAACTGATTCTTCACTAACTTATTAGTGGCATAGCTGTGCTTCACTGTCTCCAGCTTCCTGAGATCAATACTGTATATAATTGCATATTTTGAATTAAAGTTATAGGCAACATATTATGGTGCTTCGAAAACTTCGCTTAATGGTTCCCCTTTGATCATTGTGTGTTAATTGTCTTCTCCAGGTTCTTTGCTCTCTAATTAACTTTTGACATCTGACCACTTCTCTCATTTGAGTTTAAGAAAGAAGATACGGATTTAGACAACCATTTCTAAACATGAGCTTGATGACTGTATATGGAGCAATGAATGTGCCAAACCATGAACTCTGTATCGTGATAAATGTTTGGTTCACTGCATAGCAGCACTCCTAGTATATAGAATTACACTACCAGACAAAAGTTTTTGCACACACTGAGATTTTATACATTTGCATGTTACCTACTTAACATTTACAAAAATAATACTCAAGATTCTTTGCTAACAAATAAAATTACAGTATATTCACCATATGAGTACCTTTACTAGCAAGAAAATGTCCTATTTTTGATGTGCAAAAACTTTTGACCTTTGATCTTCTAACCACTTACATTGGGGCATGTTCCGTGAAGCAGGATTTCTCAGTTAACTGGGTTAACTTAAGCTAGAAGTCATGATTGTCCATAAAGAGTTTAGGAAAGACGCATTGGACAATCATGACTCTACCTTAAGTTAACCTAGCTACATAAGAACTCCTGCTTCATGGAAAACCCCCCCCGGGCAGGGTGCTGGGGTGTTTTGAACCAAACAGGTCGAAACAAGATTTCTGAATGTGAATGAAAGACCTGTAACTCTGGGAAAGTCCACGATAAGCACATTCATAATGAAATAACTAGTGGTGACATGTAAGCTTTGAATGAGGCAGATTTTTTAAGCAGATCAGGTATCTCCTGCATAATGGTGAACATTACTGAGTTAAATCTTATTTATAAAACTGGGCCTGCAGTTGAAATATGTCCATACGAAACATTGTATAATTTATACATAAAGGGTTTTGTGAGTCTGTATTTAACACCTTCCTGTGTGCTGGGAAGAACAGATAATTAATTACTGATATATTTTTAAAAACAATTTCCAGCAGAATCAGCTAAAGAAGATTATGTTGAAGACACAACGGATGATCCAGGTCAAATTGACCACACTAAAGGATGTAAAACAGTCAGCAGATATCAGCGCAATTAACTGTGATAACACAACAATGGAAAAGAGCAAGGTATCATTGCTATAGATATTTTCCCATCCTCACAAATGATATCCAGTAAAAACTGAACAGCTTTAAAGGCTTTATTAGTTTAGCACCATATTTCTTGTAAAATTTGTACTAAATGTTTTATTATAACTACACCACAGTTAGTGTCTGTGGTTTTAAACATCAGAGGTCACACCAAATTACAGTATATGCCCAAGAGATGCATTATGTGGTCTGGGACTCCATTGTACAATGAAAATATAACATCTGTCTAAAAACAATGTAATATAAAGAATCTTCAGTTCAATGTTTTCATGGCTGTAGTGGTTACTGAATGAAAAAGCTTCTACATTTTTTTCTGCACTGTACCTCCAATGAGCTTCTAACCTGTTAAAATTCACTGAAACATTTTCCTTCCACAATAGGATAAGAAAGGGGAATTAACCCTTCCACCTTACTGTGAGGCAGCTGATGGAAGGCCGTTGGAGCTCATGGAAAAGCTGGAGAAGGAGATATCTGAGCTCGAAAAGCAGAGGGTGGAACTGGAGCAACTCTCTAGCACAGAGGATCCAATCCACTTCCTACAGGTCAGTAACATTTACTACCAATCTTTGGTGAATGTGAATATCTACAGATAACCAAGCAAAATTTTCCATATTAATAGATCTTTCCTGTTTGTTTTTTAGCTCTTTCCATTGCTATGCACCAGTAAACACTAAGAACATGTCACCGGGGCTGGGGACAGACATTTAATGAACATTTGGTCTGTAGAAAACTGGCTATGGAAGATAGCCTTTGATCTTCAAGCAACAAACATGCAACTGGTGGTTACATATACTTGTGCATGTCTAATGGGGAATTATACATTATTTAATGATTGTTTTCTGACTGTAATTTTTTTAGTGCATTCATATGTTACTGGGCCTGTAGATCTATTGTTTTGTGAGAACAGGGTATTTTCTTACATAAAGGCGATGCCTTTCCAAGAGACCCAAACTTCCAGCTTTAAGTCTGCCTTTTGCCAACCTGTCTGTTGAGAGGTGCAGCATAGAGTTGAAGAGCTAGAACTGAACGACTGCGACTTCAGGTAATCAGAATCATGGAAAAATTGGACTTGACTCTGGCAAGTCCATTGACCATTATAAATGACTGGCAATTTCATTGCATAAATATTTAAATTATCATTAATTGTCATGTCATGTCTAGACTGTGGACTGGTTCAAATAGTTCAGCCACTTGATGCACCATATTATGAAAGCTCCATCTAAACTATTGCACTGCCTGTTACCAGTTCAAGCACAGGACAAATCTGTGTCACCACATTATGTATCAGCTAGAAGGCCGGGCCTATCATCCTGTTAAGCAACTGCAATGACCACAAAAAACAGTGTCACCTCAATGAAAAACAAAGAAGGTACTTCCAGTAAAAGGGAAGTGAAACCTAAGAGCAAAGATAAATGTACTGGGGGATTAAACTTTAAAACAGGTTGCTTTCAAGAAAATATAAATTATTCTTATTTCAAAATACTGTAGTCTTACTTGGAAATAAAGTTACATATTCTTAATATATATTGTTAATTTTAACTTTGAATGATTGCTATTTATTGAGACATTTAACTGTTTTACTCCTACGGTTCAGTGGAAGGAGCACTTGTCCGATATAATGTTACTTTATTATATGTTTCCATTCTCCTCCTTCATGGTGTTTGTTTGGTAGTTACTTCAGGATCTTTTTAGGAGTATGTATTAAGCTCAGCTTGTCAGTGGGTGTGTCCGAAATCGCGCACTTGCGCACTTTTAGTGCGCGATTTTAGGGCGTAGTGCGTTCACACTGACAACTAAGGCAAAATTAAAGTTTACTGAAAGTACCCGGATGGTGCACTGAAAACGGCCAGAAAACGCAGTGCAGGACGATGGACACTACTCGCACTAAACGGACGCCATTTTGACTACGTAGCGGAAGGGGAGGGACTTTCGGCAAGTTTAAATAATGGCGGACAACACAGACACGCAAGCTCAAGCGGAGGCAACTGCGTCATATAAATGTAACATTAATAAAATTATTTTACTGATGTATACTTCGGTGTGTAGCCTGTCACTCTCTGACGACAGTTATAGATAATTTTGAGTTTGCGATTATATCGGCTTGGAAGAGTTCGCACACGTAAATGTTAGCAGTTTTTTAGGCGGTCGTAGATAAGTTATATACACGCAAATAAAACCACAAGGAAATTCATTGTAAACAAAACACGGCAAATATTTTGGGGCGCTGGAGAATCGCGATCAAATGCTAGTCCGTCACTTCCGGTAAGTGCAAAACGTTAGTGTTCCATTTATGACAGCACTTACCCATGGTAGTGTGCACTACAGGAGGAAGTGCGCAGTGCACACTACGCACTACATCTCAGTGCACTGAGGCAAGTGCGCGATTTCGGACACACCCAGTGTATTATGCAGCTCTGCAAATAAGGATGATCTTCATTTTAAAATGTGATTAAATTAGATGAATTCTGTGAAATGCAGTAAGAAGAGAGATAGGGATTGTATTTTGGAAAAATCTGAAATAAACCAATCTTTACAAATGCAACTGTAATATTATTATTTAACAATTTACTGTTTAGTATATATCTTGTCCTTGGAATAAATATTTATTCATGCATTTATTCATTCATTTGTTACCTATACTCTTTAACTAATTTCCTACATATACATAGGCCATTAACACAAGATTTATATGTATCTGCCATTTTGGAGTGAAAAATGTAACAGTGTGACTCCGGATCCGAAATCCAGCCCAGACTTGAGACCCTCCTCTGATCCTCACCACTGGAGTTTTAAACACCTGTAACCAATTTCTGGTTTTAATTACATACATGCCATGTTTTTCAGACATCCTGCTGTAAGGTATTATTTTTCTCTTTGCCAAGCATTTCCCTCACGACTAGACTTTGAGATCTTTCCGTGCTTTGACCATCTGCTTGAATTTCCAGACCCCACTACTGGATTGTGATTTGGATTCTATTTTCCCCAGTTAGCTCTCAACTCTGTTCCTTCACTATAATTTTGGTTTCATCACTAAATGGATGATGGATCATACTGTTACTAGACCTCGGTCCTGTTCTTTACAAAAAACATTTATCTAAAAGAAGAAAAAAACAGTATCAAAAAACCAGTCCATGGCGAACATCTCCACCGCCTGTTGGGATTTGTGGCGCTCCAGCTGCAGCCAGTGTTGGGCCAGATGAACCAAGTAACAGAACTGGCTGTAAACTGGCTAATCTGGTGCACAGCCCCAGTCATGGAATCGAAGCACCATGTGATAGGGAAAAGGACTGCTGCATTCTAGGTGTTATACCTTTCCAACCGCAAAGCAGAAGAAACAGCAGTAGTTAGTCTACCTGTGAGGTATGGGGTGAATATACAGGCCTGGAGGTGCTGTGTGATTGCATCAGGTCCAGCTACAATTTCCTGATTGCTATTTATACTTGCGCATGCTTATTGCACAATACAGATGCAAATACAATGCCTCGACTTGGCCATCAGAGGGCGCTGGGGAACATCATCAAGCTTACCTTTTCAAGCTCAATTGCATATTAGCCGATTACCTAATTAGTAGTGAATGAATGAATATTGAGATTTTCAAGTCCTTGGGTATTATATTCCTGTGCAGATCTGGAATTTAGCAAACCGATGACTGACTTAAGCCATGTCTCCTATACTGGGGCTGGGTTCCCTATACACACTGGGATAAGAGATATCTTCCTGGGGTTTGAAGGATAATCTGAATTATTATTAAGTGTATAAATACTGGAATAAAATGGTATAGAATATCTGATGTCCAGTAGATGAAAAAAGATGTACAAAGATGTGTGTAAAGTGAGTGGGGGAGTGGAAGGCAGAGACTATGGCAGTGGGGGTCAGAGGGCTTGTTGAGTTCAACTGCTAAAGACAAGAAGCTGTTTGCGTGGCATGTGGTCTGGTCTTGACAAACCTGAGTCTTTCTGAATAGTGAATGGGAGGGATCGGCCATAATCTTTCCTGCCTGGTTCAAGGTTCTGGAGGCATGTAGGTCCTGTAGGGATAGCAGAGTGCAACCAATCACCTTCTCTGTAGAGTGGATGATGCACAACAGTATGCCCATATGCCAGACAGTGGCAGCAGTGCAACAAACGGTGATGGAGGAGGAGAGGATGGACTCATTGACGGCTTTGCGCACCAATGCTTTGTGCATTGTCTGCAGATGTATTACTGTAGCTCTGTAGGCAAACTGCATTGGGTCCAGGAGAGAGTCAGCGACAGAGCTGGGATGAGACAGTACGAGGTGCACAAATGACTTCATTACTACAGAGATCATGGCGACGGGTCTGTAATCGTTCAGCCCTGTGATCCTGGGCTTTTTGGGGAGAGGAATGATGGTCAAGGTTTTGAAGCAGTCTAGCACTTGCCATGTCTCCAGGGAAGTGTTGAAGATATCTGTGAGCACCAGAGACAGTTGGTCAGCACAATGCTTCAGTGTGGAAGGGGAGACGAGAGTATGAGCCGGCTCATTTGCAGGGGTTCAGACACTTGAGCATCTTGTTAAGTCCCACTGAGAAAGAAAGGTGGTAGAGGGAGAGGGGAGGGGGTCACTTAGGGTAGGTGGATGTGTAGCGGCCTCAGCCGCCATTGTGGTGATGGGTGGCTGAGTGGAGGTGCTGGTGGGCCGCAACTAATGGCTATGCATTTATTATCTGAGAACATCTTGTACTGTTTCTTCTGTATAATCGGCATACTGAGGTGAATCATTGCTGGAAAGTCACGTCAGTTAGGAGTGAAGCACAATAGATGTTGGTCACTCAACTTATATCCACCATCCATTTTCTGTACCTGGTTGTGCTATGTAGAGACACGGGGGGTCTGGAGCCTATGTTCCAGGTGCAAGGCAGGGAATAACCCAGGATGGGGCACCAACCCAGCACAGGCAACCCAATCCGTTAATTTGGCTGTGACAATTTTGTATACCCGCTCCAAATACCAGAAATATGATAATTAAAAAATGAATTGTTTAAATGAGAAAGGAACCAGCCAGAAAAATATTGCCCTATGACAACACATTGAGTCAGGTTGTTGCCTTGGCATCCACCATTCTTTATTCCATATTCCACAGAGTAGATACTTTGCTTTCCAAATAAATAATAAAAGAAATGACAATGCTATATCCAAAATTTTTGGATTACCTTGGAAGGGGAAAGTGGATGTGTATAGGTTGGCAGGGGATATATGGATTGGCAGGATGACATAATGTAGTGGAGTGTGCTTGAATGTTGGTTCCACCCTGACACTATCAATTTACTACAATTGTATTTTAGTTTACATCCACCTTGGAATCATATTATTGCCATTGACTTTTCATGGCAGCTCCTCTGAGTCACCCGATAAACCCAAAGCACTTATTTAGTTAAATATTCAGTTGCAATAATTGGCTAGTTTGTGACTCTATCTCTGTAATTCTGAACATCAAAACATTAGCGGGTCTGCAAGCCCAAACTGTCCTCCTACATGCTATAGTTTTTTTCAAGAGAAGATTTACAATATATACAATTATAAATTGTTCCCGCCTCCAAAGTCATAAAACCCAACCTGTTGAGTGAGCGAGTGTTGTGCAGACGTGAGCACGTCAAGAGGGTCCAGCGAGTGTGTGTGTAGAGAGGATGGATTTCCTAAGGAACGCCAAAAGGGTGATAAACGCCTCAACTTACACATTGTCTTAAGTGCACATGCAAAAAACGTCTCAAACTCACGTATTTTATGACTTGAGTACGGACATTATGCAATATCAAGGCACTTTTAGTGTGTCAAAAATGTGTCAATAAGGCGTTGATTACGTGTCAGAGACGCCTCAACTTATGCATTGCACATGTCAAAAACGCCTCCAACATAAATATGTTTTGCCTTAAGTACATGGAAATAACATGACATCAAGGCACTTTGTGTGTCAAAAATGCATCATTAAGGCATCAATTAAGCGTCAACAAGGAGCCAGAAGGACACGTAATCTTGTATGCGCTTAAGGCAATGCATAAGTTGAGGTGTTTATGACCCTTTCGGCATTCCATTGCTTTCTCCTCCTCAGCACATACACTTGCACGGTTTGGGTTTTGAGACTAATTTAACTCCAAGCGAGTCAGTGTTGTGCAGATGCAAGCGCATAGAGAGGATGGGGTTTTCTGCTCACAAGCGCATAGGTGCGTGGTTTTGAGATTCAACACCATAGTGGTGCTGATCAGCCGCTGGTGCGTAACAGCTGTGTCACTGATATAAAGTATATAAGACCTTCGATTCAGAAGACACTAATGCTTATCACAACAAATGAATAAAATATAATTTATAACCAAAACAACATCTGAAGTATATGTGTAAAGAGTCAATTCCGCACAGTAAACTACAGTTACCCACCTATCCATCCATTCTGTGACACAGGGATACAACAGTATACTGTATTCAAATAACCTGCAAGAATAAAGCAGGTTTGAGACATGTACAGTAGGACATTGTTCATTGAAAAAGAAAAGGGCCAGGGTCTTATTTGCTGAACTGGAATTTTATTATAATTTTCATGGCAAAACAAGCACATACCAGCTTTTACATTTGTTGCATGATAAGGAAAAGAAATGGCACATTTTTGAGCTACAACCTTGTGATTACTTTAGATTGATATTATTGCCTCTTTTTGTCATGAATGACAATCACATAGGGTTATGCGACGTACAACACTATTGCCTCACACCTGTGTTTGTGCTTGGGTCCCATGCTTAGCTCTTCGTGTGTGTGCAGTATTTGTGTTCTACCTTTGTTCCTGGAACTATTCTCCTATTCATCACTCACGAATTAAAAAAAAAGAACAAGAATCACATCATATAAGGTCCAGCATTTGATTTTGCTTTATTGACTTGGCTGGCTCTCTCATTTGGTTAAAGAACTGGAGGTGGCGGAGGAAGTAGAGGAACTGGAGCTGACCACCTTTCCATCCACTAGCTCCTCCACAATTGTCACCACCTTGCGTGTTGTGGTGGTTGATGATGAGCTGAAAAATAAACAAATATGATCATGAGTTCACGTTGTCAGATAAGCAGTTATGGCAGATAGATACATTATAGAAGGTTATACTATGTATAATGGGAATAAAAAAAAAAATTATTAAAAAATATTTTGTGAAATGATTTTCCATTGGGTGTGATTCTCTGTGATATTCATTAAGATTCACTGTACGTTCCTTTGGACAAAAGTGCAAAGAAACTTACCTGCTTGTGGCCTCTCCTTCCAGCAGCCTTCTGTATTCTGCGATCTCCATCTCCAGGCGTGTCTTGATGTCCAGCAGCGCATTGTACTCCTGCCGTTGACGTTCCAAGTCAGCACGGAGCTGCATCAGCTGCTCCTCCAGGCTGGTTACTTGCATCTGGAAGCCAGCAAGCTGCCTACCATACCGGGCTTCAGTTTCTGCCAGCGTGCCTTCCAGGGATGCTTTCTAAGAGCAGGAGTTACAACACAGAGTGTTAAAGAGAGTGTCTGAGCAGGAGCAAGATGCAGAGCAAAG